CAATGCGAGGCGATTGAGTACTTCATCTCGGGCCAGGCCTCCATCTCCTTCACCAGGCGGAACTCCCACATCCAAGAGCGCCGAGGATGCTCGCAGGACCAGTAGACCTTGCTGCCCCGCCGATCTTCATGCCCCCTCTTCAACGCCTTGAGCACCATTTGGTTAGAACGGCGGACTCTCGCTTTCATATCCGCCTTTAACCACGGATAGCCCATGACGTGATGAGCGTCCCGGACCGGCTGTGGCCCCTGTACTCGGCGGCCGTCCCTTAATGTAATAGGCCGTCCGCGGGCTCTGCTGAAGAGCTTGCATTCAGGCGCCCAATGCTCCACAGCTAAGCAAGGGTCATCCATGAGATCGGCCAAAGACTGCTTCCCTTCCGGTGTGAAGAAGTTGTCACCAAAAAACCAGTCGTAAGGTGGTTGCACTTCAACCTTGCCCACCATGGCCACTGCGTGACTCAACGGTGCTCGCCTGCCAGCGAACCTCTCTCCGAACTTGGGGATCCTCCAAGTACTCCGGGGACAGACCTCATCGCCTTCCCGGTGCGTCAACACACACGAGAGTGAGCACAGCGTGGCCCCACACACCGCTGGACACGGGTAACGGTCATGCCCCGGAATGTCTTTGCCGCATTGAGCACAAACCGCTGGGTCCCTCTCGATAGTGCACGGCTCAGCTTGGAACTCGACAGCCGTGGCGGCCCCACCACCTGTTGGTGAAGCATCTGTGACTGACACTTCTGGGTCTATTCGGGCCTTCAAATACGTGTACATGAGCGGCGACAGAAGCACCATCATGGCCACTTCATCCCAGCTCTCCTGTCGGGGCACCTCCCTGTCACTCAGCCGGGCTCTCTCACTGATCTCCTCGAACACACTCTCGAGGATGGAGAAGAGGGGTCTCCTGAAGCAGCATCCAAAAGTTGCCTTCCCTACGAAGTGCCTCAGCTCTGCCTCTGTCCACTTCTCTTTTGGCCAGAAGGGTTGCTCCCAGAGACATCACGTCCACCATCTTCTGGACCGCCAACCCGTAGCGGCCGTCTTCCCCGTCCAATTCACCGCCCTGCAAAGCGCCTAATGTCGATGCCACCAACCTCTTACCATCATTGAGCGGCAGTGCCAGGTCGTCGCAAACCCGCAGGAAGCGCTTGTGCCTTTCCGACATCTCTGGACTCAAAACCTCCTGGCAGCCTTTCTTGAATTTCCTCAACTGGTCATATGAATCCAGATAGATGACCGTGAGATCTTCATCTGCCGGCAGGGGCTGAGTCTTTGCTACCTCGGACTCCACGGGGATTTCAGCCTCCTTGAAAACCAAAAACCTCACAATGCTCTGCACCACAGCCACGCTGCTTACCCAGCCCATCGGCAACACCGCCATTGCTGGGTAAACCATCTTCCCTGCTACTCCTCCCAGCAGCGATGCATCCACTGGCTTTTCAAAGGCCATGAACTTGTGCCAAACCGGGGGCAGCCGGAAGAGGTTGAAGCAGCTTGTGAAGTCTTCGGAATCAACCAACCAAACTTCATCCTCCTCCTGCTCCAGGAGGGTGAGTTGTCCCAGGTAGGGCAGAAGCTTATCATCGCCATCCAGGCGGTCCTGGAACATGTTGCTTGGGATCAGGTTGCTGATGAACCTTTGGGTGCTCACCACTTTTCCATTCACCTTCTTCTCCTTCTTTACTGCACCTGCTCCATTAAGGACAGGTCTTCCCTTCTGATCCTTGAAGACCTCTTCCAACTCCACTGCCACCATCAGACCACGCTCATAGGCAGCACTAACCACCTTCTTCCATTCCTCATCGGAAGCCCTCACTTTGGACTGATGGGGCTCACTCGGCCATTCATGAACAGGCTTGAGACACGAGGTCGGGTCCAGAAGCTTCGCCTTCAACTTCTCGGGGAGGAATGATAAGGCATCCTGGACTGCCGCCTGACCCACCCCAGGCCAAGCCGCTATCACCTTGTCTGCTCTGATATCCTCCATCACGACCACAGGCTCACCCTGGTAATCAAAGCGCACATCAGCCAGGCGCTTCGCTGTCTGCTTGAATCGACCACACTTCAGCTTCCGCTCCTCCACATAGTCCAGAGCACGCCTCAAGTGATCAACAGTAAGCTTCTGTGCCTGAGTGAGGTCAGCCTTGACTTCCGGGTTCGTCCAACCTCCATGCCCTTGCGACCTTGCAAGCAAATTCAGGGCAGTCACCATGCCCACTACACCCTGAGCCTTCACCTCGCCGTGCGCCTGCAAGTAGGTGATCACCGCTTGTGGGTTAATGGGCAGCAGCTCATCGCCCCGCAACGATTTGGAGGATTTCTCCTCGAGAGGCGCTCCTTGACTTCGACCCAACTGCGCTAGGCGACTCAGCGGCGAATCCTTGCCCTCGAAAGTCCTCCACAAGCCATAGAACAACTCCACCGGCGTGCGCTCTTCAGCGAGGTAGCTCCTCAGATCACCAGGACTTGAAGGCACAGGGAGCGGAGAGGGCTGCCTGGTGACCTCTGCAGGAACTAGTCCTTCTTCTCCTTCTCCCTTTCTCCTCCTTTGCCTTTTCCTCTCTCTTTCCCTTTCCGGCCGCCCTTCTCTTGGCTTCCTTTTCCGTCCTTGCCGGCTCTCGGGTTGCTGAACCCTTTCAACTTCAGCTCCAACAGGTGCTCCCGGTTCATGAAGACCTCCTCGTCCCTCTCCAGGAGGCCGCCTGCGTCCGGACCCAGAAGTTCCAGGAATTGGGCTGCCTGCCAATGCCCGTCATGGCAGCTCTTCTCGATGGCCTTGAGGCGCTGCCCCAGTAGGTCCGCTGCGTGGGCTGGCAGCTTTCTGGCCAACATGTCCAGCGCTGTGCACAACGTCCTCATCTCCCGATGTGCTCTCATCCCTAGGCGCTGTCCCAGCTGCGGCACTATCATCGTGTGGAAATAGTGCACGGCCGCTGGCGGGGTCAGCTCTCCTCGATCTGCGGGGTTCGCCCCCACAGCCCCTTGGGCTCCCTCGACCTGCATCTTCAAGAGGAGTCTTGAAGCCAGGCGGCCCGGTGTTCTCTTTGCGTACTGCATCAACTTGAGCTGGTTTGATGCCTTTGGGACTGTGGGGGCTTCGCGAAAAACTGCCTCTGACTCGCTGGAGGACTCACCCTGGTACCTGACGATGTCACCACCCCCGAAGGGTCCACGATCACGTTGGCCCTTCTTTGCCGAGGATGACGCTTTGCCCTCAGTGCCTTCACCAAACAAGCCCTCCTCCTCTTCTACACTGTAAGAGGAGGACTCCTCAATGTCTTTCTTCTTCTTCTTGGCAACTCGGGCCTCCTTGTCTCGCTCTTCATCTGCTCCAGCGGCCTTCCGCTTCTTCCTCCGCTTTGGGCTCCATGCCTTTCTTCTTCAGGAAGTCCATGAAGTGCTTGCCCATCGACTTGGCAAAGGCCCAAGAAGGCACATGGTTGTTGACCTCCTTTTGGCCCAGCACCCTGAACTTCTCTACATGGATCGAGGCTCCACGTCTGCTGACCTTGCAGTCATGCGAAGAATCTTCGCAGAAGTGGTAGGCACATTTGGCAGCAAGTTTCTTGCCTGCACCTTCAGACATCCACCATTGCATATGGGCATCACTGGCCCCAAGGAACTTGGCCGTCACCCAATGCCCTTGAACATCGGTGGACAAAGCCGCTGCGATCTCTAAGATCACGGTGCCCTGTGCATGGCCTTCGTTGTCCCGAATGCCGCACTCCACCAACTGCCCAGGAGCGAATCGGTGGTTGAACCACTTCTCGCGATCGACACCCCCCGCCAGCCACATCCCGCTGGCGGGGGGGTGAACAGTTGCCCTTCAGCCAAACAGCTACGAAGAGTAGGGGGGACATATAGTCGTGGCTCCACTACGTAGAGGCAACACTCATTGCAATAGCTCAGCCCAGCTTTAAAAAAAAGAACAAACAGTATGTTGAGGAATGTTGAGGGGTCGTAGGGGGGGGTGACCATATACAGTCCTGTATAATACATATAGAAGCACCGTGTTCTGTGAACTTGACTTTTTGTGAGTGAACACGGTGTTGAGCCCTGTCAGCAACTTCAGCAGGATCTCTCTCATTGATTCACGACTCATGACACAGTGATCCCGAAATGGATCGGATAGAAGGATCCACTACGGTGGTTTCAGAGTAGATGGCACAAACCCCAAGATGTCTTTGGATATGAACCACCTTGGATTGTGCCACCTACGTTCAATCCACAATTGCCCACTGGAACCCTTTGAAGCACTGCTTTCCTCTACACATGCCACAGATCCCGACCTCTGCAGCTTCCTTCTTAGGATCTGCCTCCAGAAGTGGAGGGTACATCGCCAACGGTGCAGACTGAGGGGGGATGACTGGGGCATATTCCGTCACCAGGGCCCAGTGGATGATGATGGATAGATATGGTTAGTACAAGCTTCCTCTAGAAAAGTGATAATGCTTGACGGAGCACAGAAACCAACCCTGAATGAACGCTGCACTGAAAGCATGCATTGAAGCCGGAGAACCCAGCAAAGATTCATCTTCTTCAGCTGGGACCTCCAGCTACATCTTCCTCAAAGGGTGTTCCCAGCAAAAAAGCTCGTTGGATTTGGAGACTTGGCGTGCACATCTTTGACCGTATGAAGAGACCAGCTGCGACTCTGAGCTAACATTCCGCAGTGCTGGGAGCCCTGCTCGCCCCACTGACCTAGAAAAGTGGGGTGGGTGAAAGGCTGTCTGCTTCCCGATGCCGCCAGGATTCCAATCAAACCACATTTGCAGGCTGTGACAACGGCCTTTGCTGCTTGGCACAGTGTGATGATGCCGGATTTCTTGTCAAGAGTAAAACTAAGCGGATGATGGGAAAGACAGGTTCTCACTTGCAAAACCCAACGATGCGATTACAAATCCCATAGCTAGTTCCATTCTTCCTTGGATGACACGACTCTGGCCTCTCTCTGCACCAGTCTTGGACCCAAACACCCTCCCGTGTCACGGCTTGGCTCTTCGCCTGCTTGGTGAGCTCTTCGAACATGTCGTGCTTCCAATCTGCGGCGTTGACGCCCGAGCTGACTTCCAGGTACGGTGATGTGTTTGACACTGTAATACACCCAGGAAACTTGACATGGAACCTGAAAACCACCGGGTTGTAGAGGGAAATTGTCTTCCAAAGGTCCACTTTCAGGTTCCATGTGGGTCTCTTCCCGGGTGTAGGTCTGGAAGCTCCAGTCGTACCTGAGGTTTGGTACGACTGGATCCCCTAGGGAAGCTACATCTCTGGCCATCTGACGCCGGCTCAAGCTGCTTATTTGGACCAATTGCTTACTGTCAACGCTTTCTTTAGGGAATCAGCTTTGGATGTGAGGGCTTGCCATCTCAAGGGCCAATGGCTATCGCAGCTGGCCGTGTGTTCTTTCGATCTTGTCTGGCTTGTTTTGACTCGTAGTGACTCGTATCTGCTGATTCAACTCCTTCCCGGACGAAAAACCAAGCCATGCTTGCCCACGCTCATCCGGCCCGGTGCATGCCCTTTGGCCCCCGGGCTGTCAGGGCTACCTCCACGTCGTCTCTGAACGTTCCCCTCCTGCAGCCGACGAGTCTGCAGCTGAGTCGCAGTCACGAAGACCGGACGCGTGGAATCATGATGAATGCAACATCGGCGTTCCGGCCCTGGCCCAAAGGCATCACAAGTGTATCTGCACAGTTATATATATATGTATATTCTACGTGAAATATAATCTTATATACATATATACACAATCATCTCGTTACATATGTACATTATACACACAGTGCTAAAAAGCAGATTCCTACAGAGCCCGAACATGGGAGAACCCACAAACCATAAGACCTTCCGCGAGCCATGCACAAATGGCGATGAATGGACACATCAGCTTATATGAGCTTCCACCTCGCCAACTGCTCGCGGTCCTGGCGGTCGTCGTGGTCGCTGTACCTCAGCCAGCAGGTCCCTGTAAGCTATGATCCGACATCCGCAGCCAGCAAGCACCAGGAAGGAAGGGCTTGTTCAAAGGACAACCCAACTGGTAGTTAGCGCATGTGACTACACGCACTATGTCAAAACCATGAAAACAACCCCCAAAACGAGCCACGAACACGCTGGAACACCCGACACAAGCCATCGAGATCGGACTCCGAAATCCACGATGTCCATGCCCGCCCCTGGGAACTGGGAAGAAGGCCCCAATCATCGTCGAACATCCTCCCAGACGCTCCAAACAGCCCTTGGTCCCTCAAAACCTAAGGATTTGAGACCCCAGACCCCTCCATAAGAGAGTCCGACCCCTCCATATGAGGGCCCAGGGTCGCGTCTGGGCTTGATGAAATCCGCAGAAACGAGGTCATGCGAAAACCGCTCCTGACCCATATCCGAAGGGGCGACTTCACCCACATGGCACCCACCCTAATTCACCACCTTACCGAGACGGAGGTAGGCCAAGTGCTTAAAAGAACACAACAACTGAACGAACGAGCTCACGGAAGTGAAAAACCGTGTTGAAAAAACACGTTCACATGATCATGATAAGTGCCTAACAAAACAAAACATCCATGTAGGACCAATGCACCTCAATTGGGATAAACAGGCTGACGAAGAATGTAGGTACATGACGTGTGGGAGTGTTCGAGTAGGTTAACTGTCTCAACCTTTAACATCTTTAACCTGGGATTCAACCACTAACGGATCCGTCGATAAGCCGCCCCGCCACTGCATCCGCCCGCGGCCGCCGCCCTTCTCGTTTTCCAGGTCCAAATTCCTCGCCGAAATTGGTGTCAGCGGCGTGGGGCTCATACTTGGTCAGCGTGCTGCTTCACTGGACGAAATCATTTAACTTTGAGACTTGCTTGAAGGGATGCCCCCATGGCCCAATTCAGTGCCTAAGTTCATTTTGTTGGTTCATTTGGGGCGGTGCTTGTCAACTTGAAGCCTCTCCACACCCGAAAGAAGGGCCAAACTCTTGTCATCATGTAGTCCTGTACTTCCAGATGTGCAGTGCCGGAGATGAGTTTTGCAAGGCAACTCTTGTGAAGCCTTCTGTTTGGCGGGCCTTTTTTCCCCGCCGGTCCGGACAGCCCATTCCACTCAACATAGAGCAGAGAAGACTTGACGTCGACAGTCACCTCTATAAAGCACGTATGGTTAACACGGACCGTCCATTTGTCAATATATATTTTTTTTGGGGGGGTATGCCTGCTGAAGAGTAAGACTTGCCAGTGAGGGTAACCTCTATACCAGCTACACACGACGATGTTCCGAGTGAAGCGGGTTGCCACGCACCACCTTTTTGGCCCGGCGGCACGCCTTTCATGCCTCCCCCGCATGCCACCAGGCCTTGCCAAGCCAGGGTTCCACTCAGGCCGACCTCGCTTTTCGAACGGTTTTTCCACAAAACCCTCACCCTGAAAACAAGGTATGGCTCCAGAAACCCCTGTGATAACCCATGGCTATGGGTTAAACACCTGAGGATTTCAAAGGTATGGCGTTGGACCTTAAGGAAATACCCGATCCACTCCGCTGGCTCCAACCCTAGGGAAAGCTGATCGGACTCGGACTCGGTCTCTTCGTTATGTCGCCCCGTTCCTCCGTGCCCGGGCGATGGCGATGAACAGTCCCGGACGAACACGTAGCATGGACTTGGCACTTTGTAGGATGGAATTTCACCTGGACATCGCGGTGGCCCTGTGATAAGGCAGACATGGTCCCTGAGTGCCCGCACCCTTGCCTTTGCCTTTCTCGTCCCGACCTAGGCGCCGAGAACCGGCACGAGAACGGGCAGTTTCGCACCGATGACGTGGTGGAGAGTCGGGTTTGCCATCAGGAGAATCGACTCCCCTTGTGAGATGTACCCATAATCATAAGTCCTCACAGTCGAGAGTTTCCTGCAAGAAGCACAAAGAAATGCGCATGTACGGCCTACAATGCTACATTGCAGTTCTTTGACCGCTCACTTGTCTGGTGAATCTGTTGTGGCTCAAGACGCCTAGACAGAAGCAAGATGTCCAGCATTTCAGTATGCTTAAGCTAGAAAATGCACAGATTGCCCTTATGCCTTTGGTGATGTAGTCTTTGTTTTCACTATAGTCTGTGTTTAAAGCTGGTGCTATTGACTTTACATAGAAGCTGGTTGTGACAAGATCTGTCCCGCCATCAAGGTCACATCATTGCTTTAAGGCAAAAAGAACGTCCAGTTGCCCTGAGGCCAGTCAGTAGAACCGGACTTCTAACTCAGCTAGGCTCAGCTAGGCTCCAACGGCTCCAACGGGCATATGGCAACTCTCCCACTGGAAAATCAATCGAGCTGTCCAACCACCTACTGTCCAGCCTGGCTAGCGTAGCTAGAGTCTAGAAGGGTTGGGATGTGGCTCATGAAATCCACCTACCCAAACGCGACCCTGGGCCCTCATATGGAGGTCTGGGGTCGGAACGCCCTAGGTTTTGAGGGACCATGGGCTGTTTGGAGCGTCTGGGTTATAACCAAGGATACCAAAACATCTCAAACAATTTGGCACCTGACGCGTGGCGCGCGCGGTGCCGGACTTGTCGCGCTGCAGCGCAAAACGCTGTCGCAGCGCTCCTTTTTGCGCGCCACAGGGTGACCCTACATCAGATGTACACCCTTGAAAACTACACCGACCACTCGAGAACCCGAAGGTGAAGGGAATCTGGCCGAATCCATCGCAGTGATGTGTCCAACACATACCAATTCATACCAGGCGGCGCGAGCTTTGATCTCTGGCCGAATTGACAATGACTTGACAAGACCAAAAGGAAGAATCCCCTCCTTATGGACCCCGTTCCGCTCCTCGTGAAGGTCCAAACTGAACGTCCACAGGCTGCCCTCCCCTGGAAGTCCAAGCGCCATGGAAAACCTTGACTCCCAAGTTCTTTTTCAGTCTTTTTTGCTGGACAAGACAGGTTCACCGAACAAACTCCACCTGTTCTTTTTGGAGTGGGGTGTACAATGCACCAATTGCAGGCAAAAACCGCTTTTCCTGGGTAGGATGCAGGTCAGCATCACCAAGATCGGTCAAATCCACTCTGTGACCGGTTGGACTCGATTGATTCCATCGGTTCTTCGGTTCAGCGAGTTGTCAAGGGTTGCACCGCGGCGGAGGCGCCATTCGAGGCGGCGCCATGTGCCGTGCCCAAGAGATGTCCAAAACGAGATGCATGACTTACACTCCCTCAGGGAAGCATGGAAAGCTGAACCATGATGTTCTGCTCAAACAGGGTGGATGGGCCATGTTCAACTTCCATGCTTGTCTGAGGGAGGGTATGTCTACACCTACTGAAGACCGGAGAGCCCATCAAGCTCGAGGGCTTGCTCTTGGAGCAGGGGACCTGTGGGAAAGCACCAGTGTCACTGGGAGCCTTCGTGACAGGAATGATACCAAAAAACTGGAAACGTGTTTGCCATCATAGACATTGTTCTTCGATTCTTATGCAAATGCGAACATGGTGAACCCGGGGATCTTACTTGTTTTGTTACACAAAGCAAGCCGCCAAGGAGGTCCGAGACAAGAATAAAAACCGCCACTTATTTGGAGGCGCAAGGATTTCTAGAGATTTCAGCCCACCATCATGAAATCCATGTCGATTCCGTTCGACCCACCTCCAAGAAGCCCCTGCAATCAGGGATGGAACGTTCATGTGCACGTTGAAAGCATCAGAATCTGCTGGCCATACAGTCCTATAGATGGTATCCCAGATAGTAACATATGTACCCCAGAGGGTCCTATGGCCCATGGCCATATAAAGTGTCCAAATGGGTCCAATAAACTCCAGATGCTACCACACACTTGGGTCCCTAAAAGAATCACATATATATATATATACAGCTGAGCATGAACCAGGACATCAATGTCAAAACCAGTCCATTGACTAGTCGTGTAAGAGAGCTCTTGGAAGAATGACCGTTGCGCCCCGGGGCGATGGGACCTGCACTCACAGGGCATTCTTCATCAGCTTCCGAACTCGACCCTGGCCACGCGCATTGAGGTACGCGTGAGCAAGCAACGTGAGGCGGCTCACAGCAGTGGATCAAGAGCCATCAGAATATCATGGCTGGCTCTGTCGATACATGAGGGTCAAGATGAAGATGCACACCTACTGGACCCTACTGGACGGGAACACTTCTGCACAGTCTTTCCCATCTTTCCCTCAACGATTCTATCATTGTCCCCTGGGTGTTACCAGCCGCAACGCTACTGCCAGTTCATAGGTCATCGAAAAATAACTACAGTGGGACAACCCCTCAGCCTGTCTAAAGACCACCAATCTGTGTTTAGTTTGCAAGCTCAAATTTCTGTAGGACCTACATCAATCAAAGGTTCCAAACATGGGATGAGGGACAACTGGGTAGATACTTTTCATGCACATCGTGTGCATAACCTGGTCTATACAGCGTATATAGAGACCCGAGTTCCAGAAATCAAAAAGTCTCGTCTGTGGAGGATTTGAGAAGCGCTTCCGAAGAACCCTGATGATGGGCGAGACGCGAGTGCCTCAGGATGCGGATTCTGTGGACCATTCCTGATGCCCAAATTGGGGCCAAGAACATGTATATCGTTCTTGAATACATGGGAATGCCCTCAGGATGTGAATCTTGGATCGGTCAAGGGCATGCGGATCGCAAAACGGGAATATCAGTGAAAGACCACCTAGGTTGCTGTAGGATTGCTGTAGGATGTTTTTGATCACCAGCCCAAAGCACTGCACCCACACTAAAAGAACACATGGTTTTGCGCAGCTTTTAGGTGAAACAAGTTGAAACCAACAAACAAAAGAGAATGGATCCACTTACCACCTGAACAGAGCTTCTCTTTTTAGTGGACTCCTGGTTCACCAAAAGAATGAATCCTTATGACAAAACTCCTGGTCTTCTTATTGGGAGCTTTACACTCCAACTCGCCAACATGGAAGTGGAAAACCCTCTGTCTGTGGAGGAAAAATGACGAACCATTGTCCCACCTCCATGTGTCGGGAGTCCGAGTGCACACCCGGAAATCATCGGAACTCTTTTTCCTCTCTTTCGCCCACATCCAACTCCCAACGTCCGCTCCGGGATTTCTCCAAACGACCTCGACATCTGGGAGTTCCGCTTGGGCATCCTTCATGCAGCGCTGCACCCCTGCGGACGGGTCGTCACTCCATTTGTAGGGACCCGGTGAGTCCCTCACATAGGTTGGGTCGTCCATTTTTTGTTGCATTGCCATCTTGTATTGCAGTGGTTTCAGAGGTTTGATGGCACAGACCTCATGATGTCATGAACAGCATCGGGGTCCATATAAACCGCAGACATCGGGGTCTGTGCAATCTACTCTCAACCCACTATAGGTCACCAAGCAACTAGTCCAAACATTCCGTGACCACAACCAAAAACCACTTGGTCGGCAATGCGAGGTTGCTGGGAGTTGAGTTGAAGCGAAGGTAGAACCTTTGTGAACGTGAAGGCCCTGAAGAAGGTAGAGAAAGGCAAAACTCAAAGACATAATGGAGTTTTGATTGAAGACCCGCGTGCCACTCTACTCTAGAATGGTGTGTATAAAAAAATACTGACACCTCTAAGGGGCTATCATATATATCTTGGTAGGGAAGACAGATCTGCACGGAGGTCGTGGAGGATGGCGGGGTCCGACCCACCTCGGCTGCCTAGGCCCGAAGGCGCATGGGTGCACGGTGGCCCATCGCCTATCATGCCCTCAAAATGAACGTCAATGTGGATGCCATTGTCAATTGAATGCCATTCTTGCCTCCAATTAGCAATTGGCCCTTCCAAAGAAGTCATGATGCCAAGACAAGGCCGTTTCCATGCAGCAATTGCGCCATTGCTGCTGCATGGAAGCCAAGACAGGAGCCTTGTTTGAACTCCTTCTCGATCTTGTCGATGTTCTTCGCATTCCCCTCCTCCCTGGCCGATTCCATCTTCGGGTTCAGCCTCTCGATCACCTTCGAGGCCGGGTCGGGCCACGAACAAAACCCTGCTGGACCGATGGCCAGCCCAATGAATATATACCACCCAGACACTCCGTGTATGGAATATATGCCTACATTGACCCCCCAAACCACCCCAACTGATCGGCATCTATTATATGGCATACATGGAGTGTTTGGGCCATTACAACTACCATTACATATAGAGTACCTAAAATCCTTTTAAACATGTAACTGCTTTGTGTGTCCAAGCATCCAGAAATCACTGATGGATGCTGCTGGTGCCCCCGCTTCCGACGCCCCAACGACTCCCATGCGATGATAGCGATCACGGTTCCCTTCATGGCACCCAAGAGCCCAGAGGGCTTCCAACAAGCATTGACTTAACCCACACATGACCTGTCTGGGACTGCCATAGGACTGCCAGTCAGTTGGGATGGTCTTGGGGTCAATGGGGCGGCATATTACATGGTGTACGTGGAGTGTCTGGGTAAATGGGTTTTACCGAACAACCGAACAACCATTGGTTTTACAACAGGGGTTTGTACTACAACAGGTCAAACCGGTCAAACCTAGCGATCTTGGAAGGCTACGCCCTGTTCACCCCATCAGGTTGACCTTCCGTAGGTCGTTCATTCTGTTCTTGAACCCAGGGTCCCATGACCCGCCAGCTGAGCGGCACTCCGACATGTGCGGCTTTCAGGCACCGGGACAAAGAACCAATCACTCTTGTTTGGAAGGGAAGTTGCTTCATTGGCCCAGTGGGGAGAATCAAACAAGCAAAAACAGGACATATGTACCTACATTGACCCCAGGTGAAGAAACACACCACTTGATCGAGTGAAAGGAAAACCCCTTTCAAGTGGGAAGACCCCCAAGACATTCCAAGACACCCCATGGAGATTGAATTTGATGTAATTTGATGATCTGTGGCACCAAAGGTCGACGTCCATGTCCTGTCGAAACATTCTCTTTTCGAAGGGTAGTGGGTGGTAGCCCCTCAAGCGATGTAAGAGCAAATAAAGACCAGCGTTTCTGCTGAAAACACTCACCAAGAGCCAGCTCACCCCCCCAGGCTTCAAGAAGTAGCTCCACCTATCCAACCAATCCCCATCGTCACCAAGATGCGCTATTCTGGCAGCTCTGCATAGAGCGTTGCAAGCCCTCTGGCCGAGGGTGAGATCCGACACCCGGAGGCCAAATGGTTAGACACCCCGAGTCACCAGGGGCCTGCTATAGGGTCACAGCCCCTATCACTGGCCAAGCTTTCATCATTTCAAGCACGCACATCTGCACTAGACACATGTGAATTGCTGGGTGTGCGAGAAAAAGAACGCAGCTCATGTCCCCTGAAAACCACATCAGTTGGTCGGCTGAATCTCCGGTAAACTTGCAATGGCTTAGAGCTGGTTAAGAGGGAGGCCAGCTGACTTGCCATTTTCAATCATCGAAGCATCGATTTACAAAACTGCTTGGCATATGCTATACCTCCTGATCGCGGCCCCCGTACTGGAGCCCAAACTTTTTGCCTATGCAAATTTTCGTGTAAAAGCAGGGGCCAGGGGGTTCTAGGTTAGTATATTCATGGGGGTGAACACCCCACAGCGTCTTCCCCTTGACACCAGTGGCCTGCAATTCTCCTTGAACTCTCTCGGCCACCGTCTTCATGTCACGTTGGCACCGCTCGGCGCAGTTATGCCTCAGAAGCATCCGGACACGCGCAGTTACGCGAGTGGAAGGTGTGAACTGGAGCCCGGATAAGTAGTGGTGCCGCAAGACTCCCAGGTTGGGTACCTCGTTCTGGAATTGCAGCCTATCCAGTGATGGTTTCGGAGTTCTGAGGCGATTTCGCGCATGGTCCGAGTGGCTCGGGTTCTGAGGCTACTTGCCGCGGTTGGTTGTTGGGCCAGCGCTCTCAACATGTCTTGATTTCAGACCAGCTTTCAACCCTACACCTCCAAGTGCCTCCTCGGATGGTATTTGGACCTTCCAAACCCACCCCAAACACCTTCAAAACGAAGGTACTGGGAGGCCAAACGAGGTTCCAGCCAAACTCCAGGGACCCAGCAACCATCTGAACCAGGACCCGCTCCTGGGCTTCCCTGACACCATCTTTACATCTGACATGTCCTTGTAGCCTCAGTGTGGTGAGCAAACGGTCCATCCAAAAAAACGAACCAAGCAAAAACCCTTACTGTGTGCTAACTTCAAGAGACATGGAATCTGCCAAAAGGTGCTTTGAACATCTTTGAGCATATCCATTGAGACTATCATTTTGCAAGCTTCTGGAAAGGACCTTTCAAGAAATCCTCAAATGGCTTCTGCCAGTGGCTTTTCATAGATTTTCTGGAGGCTTTTCTGAGATCCCTTCTTCCGGGTGCCTGGTCGCCCAATGAAGGTGCCCCGCCTTTTAAACCCCGGTCTCTACCTGTCCGTCTTCCCTCTCCATCCCAAGGTGCTCCGAACACATCGTTGGAATACGCTTCTCCAAAACAGAACGTCGACGGGAATGTTCACGCACACATCGCACACATCGTCCAAGGGATCCCCTTTTTTTGCTGACCAATTAAGAGATAAACAGTTGATAACTAAGCACAAACAAAAAAAAACACAATAATTCCAAACAAATAATAGCATGTTCCCATAGAAACGGTGCGACTTAGATTCGTTCTCATGACCGCGAATGGGAAGCTCATTGGACGGAATTTCCATATCCAAGAAATAGAGGAGCAAGTCACCAAGTGCTCTCATGGGGACTTCTTGAAGGTAATGCATACACTTGGCATGATCAGTATATAGACTACATTGAGCTTATATATGTCATTATCCCATGCCTTTTATAGTGATCCATCGGGTCATTTTGGAAGGTCGTTCCTATACCACCCCTCACACCTGGACTACGGATCGGCAGGCAGCAGTCCAGCATGCACTGAGCCATTTTCCTGAGTGTTGGATGCTCCGAAGCCACTCCAGTCACGCCAGTCGCCCCACCCAGTCGCCCGGCCATGACATGTCGGACATGGAGGTCTTTTCACCGCGGCTTCAACGTGGCCCTATGCTGTCCCAGAGGAAGAGAGGCCAATTAGAATCCCATTGATGCGCAACAGGAGCTTTGGTTCAACAAATCACCAGCCCCCTACGAGAACGAAACACATCACATCACTAGTACTTGTCCCAGTCCTGGCGTGGTACATCAACACCACTCATCTCCACTCAGCTGGGCTCAAGGAGACAAAGGCAGGTTACTGTAATTAGTTCCTCCATTGGTGAGGGGGGTTCGAAGTCCTTGTGCACTATGACATGACTGTGAAATACCTTGAACTTTGCACATGCACCATTTGCCTGGCAGCCAGCGCTGCAATTTTGAGCATTCATCGATTGAATGATTCGCCCATCCCCAAAGACCTCGAGAACATCTTGCGCAATCGCTTTTGGTTGGAGGCCATCGCTATTCGGGTTGGAGGCCATTGCCACACCAAGGCTCTTTTCGACAGGGAGCATCTCCTGCCACAAACAGGCAAACAAAGCTTTCTGGGCTGCCACAAGCATGTCCGACTAAAGCTTAAGGAAACGAGTGTCACTAAATAGTATACATATAGAAAAGCTCAACGCATGACAAGGCTTGCAGTACAACCACCACATCGCATTGGTTTTGGCGAATTTCCCCCACTGGAGGGTGGCTTCCAGTTTGTCGGCCGCTGGCCTTCATGAGGCGCTCTTGGACTTCTTCAAAGCTCTGCTGGAGCTTCTTGCCCTCCTGACGATCGAGCCACTCAAGTCCACTGTCCACTGTCCACGAAGTGAATAGCCCTTCTGCTCAGCGCCTCCTCCATGCTCGCAGCAGGCGGCATGGGCTCCTCTGCGACGCCCGACCCAGGAGACGCTGAACCCCAAACAGACTACCCCATAGGAACCCCAACAGGTCATTTATAATACCTCACCATGCCAAGGTGCTGAGACATCTTTTGGAAAGGGCCAACCTTAGACCTTCCCGTCAAACCACCGGGGGTTTTAGAGCTATCATCTTCCAAAGGCCCAGGTTTCCACGTTCGTTCAACCCTTCCACGGCCCACGGCCCGTCGTTCCTCTGGTGCGATGGATGTACCGCCGGAGGGGCGACCAGCGGAAGCTGAAGCCGCAGCTGAAGCCAGATGGCCACGCAGCGCGGTGTGTCCAAAGATCGGTACCAGGACCTACCAGGAGCCTGTCGGACATGTCCTGGCTGGAAGCCACCAAAAAGCTAGACCCCTGTCCAGGGTCCAGGTCCAACTCCAGCGTCCCCAGAAGTCGCATGGAGTTGGGTGGTGTGGCGCGTTGAGTCGAAACATACGTGAGTGGAATGTGGATGTGACAGGGGCAGCCGTCCTCACCTCGCACCCCGAACGTGACTGCTGGTTCTAGAACCTAAAGGGGAAGCCTTTTGTTTGGCATCATGATTCTACATTGGCCCAAGCTGGAGCAAACGATTCCCTCCAGTCGCCTACCTCGAACACATTGCATGCTGCTCTGTTCCCCACAGGACAAACATTTTGGGCATGGCATTGGGTCAAAAACATGTACAATGTTGCATCATGTTGTTAATCCGTGTTCATCCAGAAGTGTCATGCCCAAGGCCAAAAAAAGGCATACAAGGATAACCCATGTACTTCGTGGCTGGTGCAAACGGCTGGCATTCCCACCCCTTCAAACAGCTGGTCTCTCCTTCCCCGCAAACGTCTTGGATACAGTAGATCCTGAGAAGCTATATAGGGACTGCCACTTGCCTGCCACCAACCGGCACGGAAGACTTCCAAAGTCGCGGCTCCGAGTGCCCGGCCAAAGTCGCGATTGCCCCAGTTGGATCCTGACACGCGCGGATTCGCTCAGCGCAGCGGGCGCACCGACGGAAGAGAGGTCTGGTGGCGATCCCGGGGCGGCCATGGTCGTAGGTTCCGGTGGTAAGCTCCAAGTGGGTGCCCAACATCGCTGAGACCAGCTGGATTGGTCTGGTGCGAGACTCCTGGGCTGCGAGTCTCATATGTATCAGGCGATTCGCCTTCGTCTCATGTGCCAGTTGACGCGACAGTTAACAGATATCCTGCACGCGACAAGCGACACCGCGCTACCCGGTAGGAATGATCCATGGAGTTTTCGCTGACATGTCTGCCAGAACTCAGGGTATCTGCATGGAACACTTTGCCTGGTAAAAACCATTTGCAGTGCAGGACGTCCTCCTCCAAGGGCCTGAAGTAGATCCCTTGAATGCTTCCCATAACTTCCTCCCCCAAGGACCCCAAACATCATGGATACACTTTCCGGTCGTGCCTTTTCAGAAGGTCTGACTGGACCCGACCCTGGCACCCACCCCAGTCCCACCCAGCACCAGCCTCCGAACCCGACCCCCTAGAACCCGCCCCCGAGGCCGCCGCCGAAGCCTTTACCACCTTTGCCGTAGCCTGCAAGAACGGCCGCCCCAAGGAGCCCCGAGGTCCGGCCCAACGCACTTCTCCCCTTTGGGGGCGACCTCTACCTCCGCTTCGAAGGTGAGGGCGTTGGCCGGTGGTGGGGGGAGGTGGACGTTTTGGGGACGCAAATGACGGTCCTTTTGGAGTATGTCCAGTTGGAAGTGGACGGTTCCCTTAGGGATCAAAATCTACAGGAAACCCATATAGTTTTCGATTCCTTGAGATTTTCCCTTGCACCTATTCTGAGAAACTGGGTCTTTGATGGTCTTTGCACGAGTGAACTTCCAGATGTTTATCACGCTGCATCATTACATAAAGTCAGGCGAAGTGGTGTCGACCACTTCCAGGGCACCCCTCTTGGAATCATGGAACATGAAAAATCTCGAGCGCTGGACTCTGCAACCGCCCAGTTCATATATAGGGACAAGTTTACCCTCCTGCAGATTAACATGGACCCTCAAAACCATTGGGTTGTAGCGGAAAATTGTCTTCTCGGGTCCATTTTCAGGATTTAGTCTCCACCGGCGTAATGGTTGTATTTTCCGTATGTGACATGGGTGCTGAACCCACTTTCGCAGGTGATGTCAGGTCCGACCTGATCTGAACCGCCCGGCATCTGCGAAGACCGAGCAGCTGGAAGAAGTGATCAAGGTGGAAGCGAAGAGATGTGAAGACGACCACGGAGCCGTGAACCCCCAATTCAAAAGCACCAAGGGGGTCCGCAGGTGTGCGGTGCTCCTCCTGAAGTTAGTGGCGCAGGTTCGATTCTTTGGCGCTTCGAATCTGCCAAAACTGCATGAAACTGCCATCGACTTGGGGAGGATCAATGACGTGCTTTTCTTTTCGCAACTAAATCTCAAGCTCAAGCCGGTCGATCTGCCATTCTCAGCTTTGGACGCTGCCTGCTGGGCCCATCTCACTGTTCCAATCATCCAAATGGTTTTGAAGGAAGTCTTCCCGAACAAACACTTTGAAGCGAGTAGAACATAGGGGGGTCCCCCAAGGACAGACCAACACACACACACACACACACCGAAATTGAGCTGTAAAACCTCTTCCTCTTGCGAGTTGATCAATCAAAAGTCTCTATACAGTGTCTTCATGGCCACTCTGGTCCCCCTGGCATGATGCGAGTCCGAGTGGGTCCACGAACGCCGAGAAGGGGCAGGACGAGGGCTGGTGAAACGGAACGAGGCACGCCCTTTCGTCCGAGCGTGCCGCGCGGTGACCCACAGGGCGTTAGACCCTAGCATCCAAAGACAGGACTGGACTGATTTGGCGGTCAGTTGGGCTGATTTCAGGCAGCAACATGTTGGGTAATTAATGGTGCAGTATTTTGAAAGTCCCAATGGAGCGTTTTGGACATGAGTGTTCATCCAATGTTCGACCATCGGTCATTATGAGTCATAGGCCATGTGGTCGATTGTGTGGCACACCCTCCACCAGGCGAGACCGTCGGGCGAGACCGGAGAAACAATGAGACATGGGGACCCGGGGGCCATGTGCCGTCTCTAAGCCCTGCCGCCAAACACTGATACACATGCTTGTTCTGTGGAAAGATCCGCTACGGTCTGCATGTTTTTACGTATGATTCCTGCATGGTCCTGTATGATATCATCTTAGAAACCCTGTGCGTCGACAAACAGCTTCGAAATCTCGAAGCACAAGAGCTTAACGTCTTGTGAGCTGATCTCTCTTTTGCTTAATGCGCACCTAGGATTAAGTAACCACCTCCCATGAATCAATCCCAGCTCGACCTGCCGAATTAAACTAATTTAAAGCCTAGATTTCCACCTTGACATCCCCCTAATTTTTCCTGAGCGGCAGAAACCTCTCCCTATTAATCAATCCCAGGTGCCTCAGAAAAACAAACATAGTTTACTACGATTTATAGTTTTTCTTATTGTTTACTTTCTTCATATTCTTTTGCACGTGCTGTCACATGCTTCTTGTCCAACTCATATTCCTATTCTTTACCTTCTTCATGAACTCCTCATAGTCTTCATTCTCACCAATCCCTTTGATGGCTTCTCCTAAGGGCTCATGTACCAACCATCCCAAAAAATTATCTAGCAAAATTGTTTAAGTTTATCCATTTAAAAACTCTATCAAAATCTTAACTTTGTCAAGCTCACAAATACCCCTCACACAGGCCCTACCCCCCCAATAGTACGACCCCCTCCCGCTATTAATCAATCCCACTGGCCTTGACCTTGAAGGGGGGGGCGTTGATTAATCCTACGTTGCCATTAAGCACCAACTGTTTATGTCTGTCCTTAACAACACAAAAATCATCAAACATGATCCTGGCCCTGTGGGCCGCAGTGAAACTGGCAGCCTGAGCCGGCCGCCGTGAAAGGGGCTCAAGCCTAGTTCTGCGGGATTCGCGCGGGCAAGCGTGGGGTATCGTGGCAACTCGTCCAAATCCTCAAGCTTCTCCCTGCATCTTCTTGCCCTTGTGTATCCACATGCCCTGTGAGAGGGGTGATGAGGATCCAAGTTCCAGAAGAGGCGTGTGGACAAAGGCCTCGCATCCGAGCACCATGCTGCATCTGGGGGCAGGTGCGCAAAAGGCTGCTGCTGGATGGATGGAGGTGCGCATGGGGCAATCCTGGTGAATGTCCCTACAACACGACGTAGGACATGTGGGAGTTGAGAATCGCGTCTTTGGGGCATGGTTTCTTTCTCCTGTGTTCCCTTTAATTTGCATCATGATTAGTAATGGGGCCCATAAATAATGCACAGTTCCAAACACAATTCATAACACCATGTTTGTTTAATGGTTCATCAATGGTTCATCTATTGTGATAGTTCTTTAGAACATGAATAAAAACACACACCATAATATAGAGGTTTAGATCCTTCTGCACCGTGTCCACCTGCACTCCCCCTTCCTTCCCAGGCCTACCATGACGAGTTCCCCCCCAGGGAAACATATCCATTCCTGAGACCTTAATGCGATTGCTCCTAAACAAATTTTCAAGGTAGTAGACCAGGAAGGCACCTGATCCTCAACAATCGATTTGTTTAATGGGCGGTTCTCATCCAACATTAGCACCCTTTAGCCGCAGTTCAGCAGTTACATCACCTGCATGTGGCGGACACTCTCGCTCCCTGCATCCTTAACGTCCAGCTCCCCCACTCGCGCCGGCCACCCGCGGCTCCGACGCGCGAGGCGACAACCCATGAGCTTTGCATGGGCTCAGGTGGAGCCTGCACAAGGTGGGAGGCCCCAACCAGATGAGGAACCAAAGCGGGCCATTGGATCCAAGAGAGGTTGAGTGTGCTGCAACTTCGGGGCCCTGCTGGGATACCTGCTGGGATAGTCTATAGACTTCTTCAACTTCTGTTGGATCATCCTTCCCCAAGCCGTTCACCCATGCAGGTGGACGCCCAGATTGCGTCTGCTTTGGGTCTGGTAAGCTTGGATTGGAAGGTGTAACAATTGGCCATTGAAGATGCAGAACAAGCACCAAAGACTCAAAGCAAGCAGGACTCCGGCAATATGAACAAACATATAAACATATATAAACCTCAAATCGGAACGTGCCTATGAATGCCTATGACTCTTCCAAAAACTCTTCAGACTTCCAAGTAGACACCAGGGAGTCCTGACTGGAGAGCTTCCCAAATCCTCCCCCAAATCCCTAGGACTCCTTACATACGTACTGGAGTTCGCCCCGGATGGCCAAGGTCCAAAACCCCTTCCCAAACCCAAGATGGGTGGCCCATCACAAGCCATTTGCTCCTTCCAGATGGGGCCCATGCCATGTGTTTGGTCTCTTTTCTCTGATCTGAATCTCCGTCTCAATCCGCTGGGTCGATCACGGAGCTCTGGGCACCATCGTCTGGGTCAAGAGAGACACCCCCGGACCCGGTTCCGAGGGGGGCGGGTTCCGAGTTGGCTGCCAGTGCCCCGTATAGTCACATTGAGTCACAGCCACGGCTTTCAGGGACGAAGCAAACCATTCCAACATGGAGCTGCTGGAGTAGTCGGTGAGTGATCTCGCTTGCTTGGCTTTTTTTCGTCGTCTGACCTCCCGGCAGATACCGCGACCTCTTCAACTTGGCTCGAAGTAGCCTGGGGCGTTTCGGGCGCAGGACTGATGTCGTGACTCAAGTCAAGGACCTTACAGTGCCCCAACATACCCCAACACTTCATGCGTGGACTACAGTATATACATCATTGTACATTAACCTCTTAAACCCACCTCAAGTCAGGCCTAGGTATATGCCATGTAATGCCATATGCATGGAGCGTTTGGTGTACAAAGTTACAAAGGTGTCATGGTCAATACTCGTTTTCATGAAACATTCATAAAAAGTTCCATCATGGGACGGGATGGCGAACCCTCTTTGTGGGGGGTAGCCCTGCCCCCAAATCCACAGACCCCAATTGGGTCACTTGGATTTGCTGTCCAGGAATCAGGGAAAAGAATCTTCCCTACAAGGGGATTCACCATGATTCACCCACAAGGAAAATAGAATAACCACCATAAACACAACCAGGGTCATTGGTGGTTTTCTGTCACCTGAAGGCTTTGGAAGCAAACCCAATCCAGGTCCATCAGCTACGCTCACCGCATGTTAGGAGGCGTGCTGGGATTTCATGGACGTCGACTGGGTATGGAAGCTGGGACAGGAATGGAGAAGGCTGACCAAGTGGAGGAAAATTGCCCTGATAGACTGTCCATGCTCCAGTTATATAAGTGCTATGTGTCCGGTGATGATTTCGAACCTGGATGAATCTATGGCCCGGTTCTTCCCTCAGTTCGTCAGCAACACCTGTCCGCCATTCAGGATCTCACGAACTCGATCTGCTCATGGACGTCCAACCCAGCACCTTTGAAATGACCATGGAGGGGTTGGCTTCCCTGACTTTTTGGTAGGGAAATACCAGGGTGCTGTAGTTGGAGATTTCGGAGGTCAAATCCAAGAAACTGATCACCACAATCATCAGGTAAACGTTCATCAGCATCGCCTTGGCGCGG